TACATCGCGTGCATTCTCCAAATTTAGCATTCCTTATGAAAAAAACTCATCAAATACAATCATATATTGGCTGGAGTATTGTGAAATCTAATCTTGTTCTTTTTGTGATTGTTTTTTATTATTTTTATTTAATGTGTTTAATTTATTTTATGCAATCCAATGTATAAAATAACAACACCTTATTACTTACCTTCTATCCTTAATCATCAGTAACGGTAACACGAATTTCTGTGATAGCGACAAATCCTACTCTATATTTTGGATCCATTGCGAAAAATTAAAAATAAAATAAACCAAAAATTATTTTAAAATCCTAAATTAATTTGAGTCTTAAAATGTAAATTTTAAGTACTAGGCTATTTAACTCTTTACATTTGCTTTCGTTTGCCGATTACACTAAAATTTGATCACGAGAGTGTGTACTTATGAAAATCTTTAGCAAGAAAAGTAACGATGTTCAGTAATGTGTATCAAACAATGTAACAAACTTTTAAATTACGTAACTGGACAATTAATATATCAAAATTTTAGATTTTCACTTTAACCAATTTATTGCTATAATACTTCTAATCATATCACTCAGATACAGTGATGTATACATTGTTAATTAATTACAGTTGACCTTTACTATAATATCTTGTTAAATTAGATAGAATCTTATGGCTCTAAAATACAAGTCTGATAAGCAAAGTAAGTGTCTGAATTATTTGCAATATTTATTTAAAACATTGGCAGTTTGTAACAACAAACATATTTTTTTAGTTTATCCACTATCAGCTAGAATCGAAGCGCACGGAGAATGTGAACAATGCAAGAACTATAACACTTCATTTGCCTGGTGCCAATCATGTGACCCTTACGAAACTATTCGAGGATGGACCAGTGGATATAAGGAAATCGATAAATACATCAAAAAAATCAACTCACAACCACCAGTTATGTGGATGTAATCGAGTGGATTCCATTCAATAGGTTAACCAACTTACGAAAGATAGGGGAATTAAGATTTGCAGCAATATGGATAGATGGAGCACGAATGATCGAAAATAACACACAATCACGTAAAGCATTGTTCGAAGTAGGACTTAAGGCATTCAACAATTCTCGAATGGGTGAATTTGATTTTATAAAAAAAGTAAGATACTGTTTATTATATGCTTTATTTACGGTTATTTATAGGATAATAGCTACATCAATGTTAAAATATTTTATTTTTCCAAGTTTCATTTAGAGTTAGAATATAGAAAAGATCATAAAATATACGGAATAACCGAGAATACGATAACCAGTCAATACATGATCGTATACGACGATTTCGGTTTATTAAGAAAAGAGATATATGGGAGGTGTGCGCATTGCGATCGTCATAATACTTCATTCGCCTGGTGCCAATCATGCGATCCTTCTAAAACCATTCAAGAATGGACTAGTGGAAATAAGGATATCGATGATCGCATCAAAAAACTTCAGCTCAAAACTACTAAATATGAGAACTTAATTGAGTGGGTTCCATTCAATAGATTAATTATTTTACGCAAGATTGGAGAAGCAAGATTTGCGGCAGAATGGATAGATGGAATACGAAAGGTCGTAAATAATGTGCAGTCACGGACATTTCCATATGAAGTTGGACTTCAGGAAGTTGATAGTTCTTTGGTGCATAAATTAGGTTTTCTAAGTAATGTAAGTTATATGTTTTGTTTATTAATTAATTAATGAGACAACACATTAACATTATAATGCTCCTTTTACAAGCTTCAATTCCAAATGACATTAAAGAATGACAAGATATACGGAATAACACAGGATGTGAAATCCAGTCAATATATGATTGTATTTGATGATTTTGGTTTTAAAAGGTGTACTTTTTATGAGAAATGCGCATGCTGTAAACGTTATAATACATCATATACCTGGTGCCAATCATGTGATCCATTAAAAATTGTTCAAGGATGGACCAGTGAAAACAAGGATATTGATAATTGTATTAAAAAATTTCAACTTGAAACTGCAAAATATGATGAAGTGATCGAATGGATCCCATTTAATAGATTAACTAACTTACAAAATACTGGGGGATCACGATTCATAGCGATATGGTTAGATGGAATACGAAAAGTCAAAAATAAAAAACAGTCACGAACGTTACCGTATGCAGTTGAACTTCATACATTTGATAATATTAAAATGGAATCATGGAATTTTATAAGAAAAGTAAGCTTTTTATTTGCTCTATTCACGATTCATTTGATGAGATAGCCACTCATACAGCATATTCATTTTTTTTCAAGTTTGAGGACTACATTTTTTCATGGAGGAATCGATATAAAGTATATGGAATAACTCAGAATACGACAACTGGTCATTATATGATTGCATTTGATAATTTCGGTAATACAAGAGACACGAAGAATGGAAAATGTGCGCAGTGTAAACGTTATAACACTTCATTTGCCTGGTGCCAATCATGTGATCCCTTTAAAACTACTCAAGGATGGACTAGTGGGAATAACGATATTGATTGTTGTATCAGAGAAATTCAACTTAAAATTATCAACTACGAGACTGTAATAGAATGGATTCCATTTAATAGGATATCTGACTTAATAAGGATTGGGGAATCAAAATTTCAGGCAACACGGTCAGATGGAGTACGAAAAGTCGAAAATTATACACGGTCACGAACTTTACCACATACAGTTGAACTTCAGACATTAAACGGTCCACAAACGAAGGCATTAGATTTTATAAGAAAAGTAGGTTAATTCTTTTCTTTACTCACGATTCATTTTATAGATAATTACATATATGAGTTTTACAAGTTTAAGGACTACATGGTTTTATGGAATAATCGATCCAAAGTGTATGGAGTAACTTTGAATACAATAACCAGCCAATATATGATTGTATTTGATGAGTTTTTTTCATAAGGAATGCTAAATTTGGAGAATGCACGCGATGTAGACGTTTTAACACTTCATTCGCCTGGTGCCAATCATGTGACCCTTATAAAGCTATCCAAGGACGGACCAGTGGTGATAAAGATATTGATAATTGTATCAAAGAATTTCAACTTAAAACCAATAAATACGAGGATGTAATAGAATGGATTCCATTTGAAAGGTTGTATTATTTACCAATGATTGGAGGATCGACAATTCCGTTAATCTGGTTAGACGGAATGCGATAGTAAGCACTCACGCGCAATATGTACAATTCACCTAAAAAAACTTCAATACTCTCAAATGAGTACAATAGATTTCGTAAAAGAGGTGAGAAATAAAATTATTTTCAGGTTTAAATAATTACATGATATAACTCGATTGGTTATTTTTACTAGTTTAAGAATTATATGGATAATGACGACAAACAGAAAGTGTACGGGATTACTTGCAATGCAACGATGGATCAATATATGATTGTTAGCAAGATTGGCTTAAAAAATCAGGAATACAACGAATGTCCACAGTGCAATCAACGCAAAAACTCCGAGGCTTGGTGCGAGTCATGCAATCCGAATCTAATAAATCAAGGACTAGCGAATGAATATTATATAAGAGAATTTAAACTTGATATTGTTGAATATAAAAATGTAATCAAAAGAATTCCTTGTGATAAGCTTGTTTGCATGAAAATCATTGGAGAAGATTTAGAATTTTCGGCAACCTGGTCAGATGTCCAGCAAGGTAATTTCATTATTGTTAATTCTGTTACGAAAATATACTGTACTCCAGTTTCATATAGTAATATTTACATTTAGATTTATCCGAGAAACTTACTGAATCTCATATTATTTTGCTCAATACTTTGCCTGGTTATCAGGCAGAGTTCGTGGACTTTTTGAGAGAAGTAAATTTTAATTATACATACCATTTTGTATTACCCTACTAGTTTCTTTATCTAAATTTTGTTTGCATTATTCCCAAGTTTAAGGGTTGTATGGAACTAGATGAAAACAGAATCAAAGTATACGAAATAAGACAAAAAGAAAATATCAATATATTCATATTAATATTTGAAATACGTAAGATAACTTATGTGGATGATTTTTCTTTTAAGAGAAACTATAACTGGAATATGTACGATTTGTAAACGTTATAACACTTCAAGGGCCTGGTGTCAATCATGTGATCCTTGGCAGATAATTGGAGGGTGGACAAGTGGAAACGCAGACATCGATGGTTGCATTAAAGAACTTCAAATTGAGGCTACGGAATATGACAAAGTAATTGAATGGATTCCTTTTAGCAGATTGAGTAATATACAACAAATCGGAAAAGGAGGGTTTGGATATGTATTTTCTGCAAACTGGTTAGATGGAAAACGAAGAACTCTGCATGAAGACGAAAGATATGTACGATCGCGTTTGCCACAGTGTACAGTAGCACTTAAAACCTTACCAGGCTCCTCAACAAGTTCTGCCGATTTTTTAACAGAAGTTAGTAAAGTTATTTTCTAAGAGATTTTACAGTATATTTAATAATAAGATATTAATATAAATCTATTTAAGTTTAAAAATCATATGCATTGTAGGTTAAAAGGTACTAGTCTCGAAGTATATGGGTTAACTAAAAGTACTGCTACAAATCAATACATGGTAGTTCTTCAGTATGCTAATGGCGGAAATCTTCGTCATTATTTAAAGTCAAATTTTGAAAAACTTTACTGGAAAGATAAATTATTACGGCTAAAGGACATACCTAATGATTTATCTCAAATTCATGAAGCAGGATATACAGTATTCATTGCGATTTACACAGTGGAAATATTGTACAAAATAACGACCCGTGGTTCGAAAATGTAAAATCTTACATCATAGATCTTGGATTATCACGGAAAAACGAAGATTCTGAAATTAAGAAGGGAATTTATAGAGTCATGCCTTATATTGCACCAGAAATTTTGCTAAGCGAAGACTATACACAAGCATCTGATGTCTATAGTTTCGGTGTTATCATGGCAGAAATAAGCGTCGGAATACCTCCATTTAATGGTCATAAATTTGATAGCAATCTTGCATTAAAGGTTTGCAACGGGTTGAGACCAGGATTTGCCCTAGGAACTCCTGATTGCTATGTCGAGTTTGCAAAATTATGTATGAGTCTTAATCCACAAAAACGACCTACCGCTAAAGTTATTTTTAACAAACTTGAAGAGTGGTATGATCTTCTAGATGACCCTGATGAACTTGAAATCGATGAAATTGATGAACGTAATGAAGCTGACATAGAAATTATCAATGATTTCTGGAAATCTGATGAAATAATTAAACAACTGCCCATGGCCTTGCAGAAACATCATGACCCTACTTATACAAGTAATTTTATTAATACTTATGATATATCTCGGCAATATAAAGTATTTTCTGAAAAAAATACACGTGTCTCTCGACAGTATAACGGATCAATCAACATTAATACGACGGGTAAGATTTCACTTTATCGCTCGAAATATTAACTGATAAGTATCTTATTAACCGGATTTATTATTATCCTTTGTATAGATTCTAATGTGAAGAATTTAAAATTATAATCGAGTTATTTAAATGCACATTATTTCAATGTATCTTTTTTTACTCTTGCTGTAATGAATTAACTTTGAGATTCAATGTGTAATTTTCACTGCATATCCTTATATTTTTATCGTGTTAAATAATTTCTTGTTAAAAATTTTTTTGTTATTGTCTACGTTAAATATAACATCTATTAGTCTGCATCGTTACCTCATTTTTATAAGTATATATTGCAATATTTTCGATTAAAGGTTATTCGGTCTTATCAAAATTTTAAATTGGTAAAATTAAATGATTTTTTCTTAATTAGTTTATTTATACATTATATGTTATTATGAAAATATGACAAGTCCGCTGATTTTATTTAGTTTATGCTAGGTTATATCAATGTAATTAAATATTCTTTCTGCTAAATTTTTTAAGCTTTATACAATAGTTAATATATTTCACTTTTTTGTCAAAACTGCCATTAATTCTACAATAGTTTTTTGAGCAGGACCATTTTTAGTAAAATTCTCTATAAATGCTAATTGGATTCAGATTTGAGAATTTTGGAGACCAAAAAGTATTTGTTATTAATATTATTTTCTATCAAATGCATTATTATATTTGTCTAATAAATCGAAACAATATTCATCCTGAAAAATATATTTCGACTGTGATTAGCCACTATTAAAAGGATTAAGTATTATTTTTTAAATATTACATATGCCAAAATCAATAATTTTCTCGAAAGCATTAATTAAAATCCATTTCAATTTTTATAACACATTTCCACACCAGTATATCTTGATTTTTAAGATGACTGCTAAATTAAACTATTTACATTGTATTTCTCATGTAAGCATTACCAAATCCAATCATAAAAGTTATTTTAAAATAAATAAAAAGCACAGTTAAGCATTTTAAATTATTGTGTTCATTTATAATCTGTTTTTTTTAAATACAACAAAGATTTTTTATTTATAACTTGGCGATTAAATCTTCTTTATATAATACACATTGAATGATAATACAATTGTTTAAATTATTAAAAACTAATTGTAATTTTTTTGTTATTCTATTTAAAAATTCTTGTCAATCTTTTTTTAATACAGTTTTATTAACTGTCTATTGCTTCTTTCTATTAATTTTGATAATATATCTAATCCAAAAGAACTATAGTTTGTTAGTCCGGTTTGTATTTCTTAATATTATGGATAGTTAGTTTCAAATTAATCAAAAATATTCATAATATTAGGCTTTGATAATAATCTTTCACAGATTTTATAAACGTTAAAAGCAATGATTATTTAGTTGTTTCTTCATAATATGCATTTTTTATAAAAAAAAAAACAAAGTATTGAAAAGGAACCTACAGTAAATAAATTGCAGTTAAGAAAATAAAAAGAAACAATTTTATTATCGAAGCATTAAATAATTTGTACAAGTTTGACAATAAATTTACAAATTTTTGATTTTTACTATTTAACAATAACGATTTTAAATTTATTTTACTTGATAAGAAATAATATTAGTCTTATTAAAAAATTATATAGTCAAATATATTGTATACCGTGAAAGTTACAATAATACAAATGACTGCTCAAATGTTAAAAATCATTCAAATATAAATACCTATTCCAATATTAAGAGATTTTATTGTAAAACTCAAATAATAAAGAGAAGTAATATCTTAAATGGTTGCTTGATGTATACATTTTAGATCCTTCCACTTTATAAATATTATATGCGACATAAAAAAAATATTTTATAATTTTTTACTGTTATATAAGATTTTTATTAGAATAAATAAAAGTAATTATACAATGATAAAACTAATAAAAGCGAAGAAAAGTATGATTTGTATGCCTGAAATATCCAATGAATTAAACACGAGAAAATATTGTGTAAATGATAAGAAAATACAAAAAATATATTTATTGCCCAAATATTAAAATGCCATTAAGAGATTGTCAATCTAACTAGGCCCGAATCTATAAAATTAGAAAATGTATATTATTTAATCCTTGCAAATCATTTTTTTTTTGTTACAAGCATCAAAATGAATGAATTTAAGTTACCTGCCCATTTACTGTAAACTTCTGTGGGAACAGTACGGGAAATGGACTCAGCTTTACCAGAATTATTCGCTTGTTGTATTTGTGTAGTTTGTAAAACACATTCAACTTTGCTAAAATCATCCAATTTTGGAAATTTGCATTTCATATTTCCAACGATGGGCCAATGATCTAATTTCTTTGGCAGTTGGGCGAACTTTCGAGTCTTTATCCAAGCATTTCTGCACTAACTCTTTATAAAACTCGGGCGTGTGTTTTCCAATGTTTGGCCTTGCTCCATTACAGATAGCAAGTGTGAGATCTTGATCGTAGCTTCGATCGTCGAATGGCAATTTACCAGTCGCAATTGTGCACATAATAATACCAAGGCTATATATATCAGATTCTTTCATATATTTACTTCCTAATAAAACCTCTGGAGCTATAAATGGCAGGACTCCAAAAACCTGCCCTTCTGTTGGTTTCACACCAAGTGGCCGTGATAAGCCTAAGTCTGTGATCTTTACTTTTAAATTATTTCTTCTCCCACCAAAAAGCAATAAATTTCCGCTATGGAAATCGGTATGCAATAAGTCGACGACATGAAGTTCTGTAAGACCAGATGCAATATCATGAACAAAATTAATTCGTTCCTTCCACGTAAGCGTAGAAATATTATTATGAATATAATCTTTTAAGCTTCCAAAAGTCGAATATTCCATAACCAAAAGATAATCCAAGGAAACTGGATCCCGAGCAATTCCATAAATTGTGACAACGTACTGGTCATTTTTTGTTTTATTGAAATTAATAACCTATAATAAATCAATCAATCATTATTTTGCATAAAATAGTGCAAATTATCCAATAAAGTAGTAACTCACTTCATTCATAAATTCATATACGTTGTCCGCAGAATTATTGACGCTCTTTAGGGCTACTTCACATGATTCACCATTACTCTTATTGATTTTAGCATAATACACTTTTCCACAGCCACCTTTAGCAAGGAACTTAATATCGTATATCATGTTATAATCAATCCATCTTAAATCCGTTTCCCCTTTAATCATTTCTTCGACACTATTATACCTTTTCCATCTATCAGATTTTTCGTTTATATTTTCTTTCATTACTATCACTGAGTCATCTGTCTTCTCCTTGAATTCGTCTCCAAGCCACTCAAGTGGTTCCTAAAAAATAATAACACATGAATACCTAATTTAAGGTTTGGCAAATAATAGCTCTATCAAGATAATTACAATAGCTTGCAGAATGTTGAATATTGGAAGATTCATGTTCGTTGGACTGTATTGAAGTTGAAAATTGAGAGCGACTTTTTACAATCGGATCAAATGATAAGCGTAGCAAAGACACAGTGTAACCATAAAGCTTGGCATTAATAAGTCAGATAAACAAAATCCTTCAACATATAACAGAACGTGACCTATTTTTCTACTTAAGAATCCATTTCGTAATAATATTAGTAATACAAATAATAATAATTTAAATTCATTTCACAAGACTAAAAAAAAAAGTTAGAAGGTTAATGGATTTTATAGCGTGCAAGCTTATATAATACCTTTAAATAAAATATTGTGGATAAAGTAATTACCAGTAAAAAATGTATTATGCATGGTAAGAAGCATTAATATTGTAGCCTATTGCCACAGTTGGGGTTGTTAAGTCGTTCGGGCGTAGTAAATGCAGATGAGTTTGAGCGTATTCAAAAAAATTGTTATCAATAAATTTGATTACACAAAGAAATACTATATGGTAACTACAGTACAGTATACGTCAATTTTCAAAAGTAACTGTGCAACAATAAAGATTGACACTGCATACGTAGGTACAGTACATTATTTGAGTTAATCAAAAATATTTTAATCATTTAATTAAACTTTATCAAAATCAAATCAGTGTTATTTTAGTTCTATCAAAAATTCACCGAGATGAGTGATTCGTATAATGCTGGCCATTGTTATCTAAATGGAATTGGAGTTGAAAAGGATGAACATAGGGCATTCGAATATTATCAAAAATCAGCCGAGATGGGATATTCTGACGGCGTATTTCAAGTCGGCTATTGTTATCGAAATGGAATTGGAGTTGAAAAGGATGAACATAAGGCATTCAAATATTATCAAAAATCAGCCGAGATGGGTCATGCATCGGGAACATATAATGTTGGCTATTGTTATCGAAATGGAATTGGAGTTGAAAAGGATGAGCATAAGACATTCAAATATTATCAAAAATCAGCCGAGATGGGAGATTCTGACGGTGTATTTCAAGTCGGCTATTGTTATTTCAATGGAATTGGAGTTGAAAAGAATGAACATAAGACATTCGAATATTATCAAAAATTAGCCGAGATGGGAGATTCTGACTGCGTATTTCAAGTTGGCTATTGTTATAGAAATGGAATTGGAGTTGAAAAAAATGAACATAAGACATTCGAATACTCTCAAAAATCAGCAGAGATGGGTAATGCATCGGGAACATATAATGTTGGCTATTGTTATCTCAATGGAGTTGGAGTTGAAAAAAATGAACATAAGGCATTTGAATATTATCGAAAATCATCCAAGATGGGTGATGTGTTAGGAACATATAGTGTTGGTTGTTGTTATCTCGATGGAATTGGAGTTGAAAAGAATGAACATAAGGCATTTGAATATTCTCAAAAATCAGCCGAGATGGGTAATGCATCGGGAACATTTAATGTTGGCTATTGTTATCAAAATGGAATTGGAGTTGAAAAGGATGAACATAAGGCATTCGAATATTATCAAAAAT